TGATAGTGTGGTGTATTCGCGATGATAAAAGGGTGCTGTAGTGCAACTTCTAAGTCACCTTCAACATTAACGTCTGTATCATTATCTATCTGAGGTGTGTTAGTGGTGTCTGCCTCATCTACTTCTACATTGTATTCGTCTAATTTAGTAATAATATCTAAGTCGTTGATAAATAAGCTGTCAAACGAATTATCTAAACCTCCAGTAAAATCCTCTAGGTCATCTAAAGTGTCAGTCTCGGTGTCAGTACATTTCTGGGCGTCAAAAACTTGGTTTTTAGTCATTAATAAATCATGTAACATACCACGAATGTTTCCAGTGTTTCTCTTCCACTGTTGAGCTAGCTGTATGCGCCGTTTTGGGATATCCGTATCAAAAACATGAACACTTGCCTCGCATATTAAAGACCCGTAACCACTTCCTGCATTGTCTACTTCGTCAATACTATTAACTTTACTCACCAAAAACAACGCGAACTTTTCAATTTGTGCTTTGTTTGCAGGAGCCATAGCAAAAAAAAAAACGAATGATCGAAATACTCACAAATCGCTCGAAAGGTGCAAACTGATAAATGCCAAGAGGTTGCATTTATATATCTATTATATGTATTAATAGTTTCATAATACACAAGTAATTAGAAAGTCACCGTAATTAAATATAGCGTTTTTCATCATTTACCAGCTATTAGATTCTATGTGCAAACTTTCTAGGAAAAAATTCTACGTTTCTATACCAACGGAATGGGATTTGAACCCAACGTTTTATGAAGGAGTCGTAAACAATAGTACAAAGAGCAAGAGATAATTCTAACTAAATAAACAAATCAGATTTGTAATGCCAACAGAACTCTTATTTTTAGGGCGCATTTGATAAATTAAAAAACTTATCTTAGAATGCAACCCAAATATAAATCTATCGAAATTAGTTTTAAAAATATGTTTAACTTTTGTAAAATTTATATAGTGACGCCCCTAAATGTCGCGCTTAGATTAAAAAAATTTCATAAACAAAAAATAGCTTATATGCAAAACCGCCTACCTTGCGATTATATAACTATTATTATTGTCACATTTCTTCAATGTACAAAACGAATACCTTGAGTGCTAAAAAGTAAAATGACACAGATAATATTCAGACAAACCAAAACAACGTATTTTATTTTATAACCAGTTTTGCAACATTGCGTGGATCTCTATTTCCGCTTTCTTTGTGTTATATGTTTACGTATATACAAAAATCTATTTTTTTGTATTGGATGTATTTATCCATTTTGGAAATATATAATATATAATTATATATATATATATATATATATATAGCTCTCAATTCTTACGCCTTTTTACTATTTTTTTGTATTTACATAACGCGGGGATCTCGTTTTGTTCAACAATATATCAAAATCTATTCTGGTTACTGTTAGATTTTTTGCTTTGATACATTTTGGAAGGTTATATCACACTATACCGGTTTAGCAAGAATCGGAAATAATTTAGATACCGTCGAGGATACCGTCATACACCAAATTTCCGTTTATCCAGATAAAAAAACAAATAATTCAAGAAAAAAGCATAAAAACATCAAATTTGCTATACAAAGTGTTACCAAAAAAACTAAGTACTAAAGAGCATTATAACTAAGGTGCAAGTCGGAAACGTTATGTTTGAGTGCTACCCTTATAAAAACGTCAAAAATTGTATTTTTTAGTTCTTTTTCAACAAATCATAAGATCTACAGACGGGAATAATTTTTTACATAATTGGTTAGATTTTTATTATTCTGTAATATTGTAAAAAAATTTGAAAAACCTTATATACGACAAAATGGTGCACACAATTTTTATCTGGACGGTTAAACTTAAAAATAATTGCTCATGGTCGAAAATTTTTTTTTAATTTTGTTTACATAATCAACTAAGCTGATCTAAAGGGAATGAATGTTAATTATCTACCAATTACTTTCTATTTGGTACATTATCGTTATTATGTTTACGCAACAGGGGAAACTACATCTGCATAAATTAGATTACATGATGTCATGATAGTGTGTTGTTTATTACATTACATTAAGGGTAATTACCCGTCGTCACCACACTGTACCAACTTTCTATGCTACTAATGCTTAAGTAATTAACTAAACATTTATCTACAAAATATTATAAAACCCTAAAGTTGAAATATTTATCAACAGTGCTGTTTTGGTATTTGCAAATTCGCTGTCTTCGTTATCGATAATGTTGCTCATCTATGATGTAAGTATAATATTTTTTATACTTTGTATTCTTGTTCTAATACCATTTTAATGTTTCAGAAAGAAGTGGAGTTTTTGGGAGCGTCCAACGCACGGAGGCTGTTGACGGCGGTTTTGGGTCTTCCTTTGATGGAGCGGTCCCAGTGGGAAAGAAGAAGCCGAAGTTGTTTGCACAACTGGCTATTGGTGGGCAAACTATCTCTCAGCTGCAGAAGAGGGTCGTTCGATGCAAATCAGAGACGTACGGGTATAAGCTGGCACCAACAGTGTACGTAATGATTGGTACAAATGACATTTTGACGGTAAGTGACATTTTATTATTATATTGTTTAATCTAACCGTTTCTATTGCAGAACAAGTCGTACCAATCTATGAAGTTGTCGTTTTTGCGTCTAATGGCTTCGTTGAAGTCGTTAGGCGTTGAAACAATTAAAATGTCAACAGTGCGGAATTATTTCATAACTATCGTCTAGCGCTACTTAGAGAATCGTTTATTGTTTTAAGGCATGATGATACGATAGTTTTGTCATAAAAAAGACGAATTTCTTTAAAGCTGTTGTGTAGATATTCTTACAACTCATGTTACAGAACAAATAATGATTGCAAATGCACACATTCTGTAACAGTTGTTTAACGTTTTATACAATCCGTTATAACTACATTTTAAAAGAATTGTATAAACATTATAATGCAGTTGTATAGCTATTCTAATACCTTTCATTTCTGCGTTATAATATAGTTGTAATAGAAGTTGTATAAGAAGTTATATTGAAGGTCTTTATGCTAAATAATACAACTGTAGACTGAAAAACACGAGGAAAAACATTATACAATATACACAAAACTATTTCATAGTTAGCATATAACTACAACAGTTTACTCCCTTATGCAGAACTTCTACAATGAAAATGTAGTTATCGAAAACTCTGCCATATAACACAACATTTCTATGGAACTATTATCTTAGTAACTTTTAGAAAATGGAATCGGCTGTGTCTAAGTGGAAAAAAATTAAAAAGAGTGGGCACTTTAAAAGATTAGCCAAAAAGAAATACCACAGAATTCTACAGCATTGCAGTTACCTTTCCGAGGCTAACTTAGAAGTAGAAGGTTTATCGGTAGTACCTACAACTTCCTCCTGCAGTAATATTGAACCGCAAACTGAAATCCAACAAGGTACAGAAAAGGAATGCGACCTTAATAGTGCTAACGAAGTCAATGAATACATGATGGATACCGATGAGGAAAATTTCTTACCTTCGCTTTCTGAAATTGACAAGAAGATTAAAATAAAGGAAAAACTTAAAATATGGGCAACGTCTTTCAACATTACTCATTCTGGATTAAGAGAGCTTTTTAAAATATGGAACCAAGCTATTCCTAACCTTCTTCCTAAGGATCCAAGGACATTTCTAAATACTCCCATAAAAGTAGATAATCTGGTAACACTTGAAAATGAAACTTACTGGCACAATGGTCTTACGCCAAATTTAATAATTTGTTTGGAAAACTATTCTCATATAGAATCCATTTCCCTAAAAGTGAACATTGACGGGCTTCCCATATATAAAAGTTCAAAGTGCGAATTTTGGCCAATTTTATGTAACATTCATGAAATCCCAGAAGCTAAACCAATAGTCGTAGGAATATACAGTGGCATTGGGAAACCTGCCAATATATATACCTACTTATTTGCAGAGTTTTGTTAACGAACTAAAGCAAATACTCAAAGATGGAATCTTAGTTAACAAAAAGAAAATTACAGTGAAAATTCGATGTTTCGTTTGCGACTCCCCTGCAAGAGCATTTATTAAAGGTGGGTATATTAATTACTTCAATTAAATTATATTTCGGCGTCCGGTCCGAATATATCATTTTGTAACACACTGTAGTACGTGCTTTTCCTACTACCATGCACAAGGTTAAAAGATAAAGAAAAAACTCGCTCTCCCCCCTAAACGGCGCCTCGTACCCACTAGCAGTTGGTTGTTCATTGTGTTTTTTGTGCTCCATGCGTAAGGTTACGCTCTTCGCTTGCTGTTGTTTTGCCGTACTTTTGTTAAAAGTAAGTTTCGGCTAATGTAAGTATACATTGACAGATCATTTGCAGCGCTTTTTTAGTTAAGGATGGGAAAATCGAAGAAGCATAGGAGAAATAAAAGTCGATCGCCGCGGGATAATTTTTCACCGCGGGGCAGAAGCCGGTCGCCGAGCAACGATTCTCAGTATCCTGTAGATACGCGAACGTTGCTTAAAAGGTTAGAAGTTTTGGAAAAAAGGACGCGGCGTTCTAGGTCCCGCAGCCCCAGCAGTTCTACCTGGCGGACTCGTAATCACAGGCGCCATACCCGCCGCGTCACGTTGTCGCGATCGCGGTCGCCATTACAACGGCTGCCTGTAGCAGCTGATGGCAGGGTACAGGACCGGGCTTGTAGCCCGTCGCCCTCTTTTACACGTCCGCGTAACGATTCTGAAATTGGAAATGAGGTTTTTTCGAGGCTTTCTGACACGTGTAGTGTTCGTAATGAGCCAAACGATACGCTAATTATTCATAACGATGAGACACTACCTGAAGAGGTCGTAAAAATCCTCGGGGACGACCCTGAGAATAGCAAAGAAAACAATCCGTTTTTACACGATTCGTTAGCTTCTCGTTGGCGACATATTTTAAGAAATTAAAAAAAGATGAAGCAACTGGTTTGTTGCTCAAATACCTGACCCCGGCAAATCTCACCGATTTGATACCTCCAAAAATGAACCCAGAGATTCCTGCAGTTCTCGACAGGTATAATCTTGCTCGGGATGGATCTCATGTCGAGGTTCAGAACCACCTGGGCAAGGGTTTGTGTGCCCTGGGTAAGGGCATTGACTTATTGTTAAATGGTGACACAACTGTGATAAAAAATGAGTTGCTCGAGTATCTGTGCGATACCGGCAGAATTTTGACAAATTTATTTCACCGCGAGTCTGTGACGAGGAGAAATTTGATTTACCCCTCTCTAAACAAGAAGGTCAAGGAACAGGTGGAGATTTGTCCACCGTCGTCGTTTCTCTTTGGAGATGACCTTGGGGAAAAAATAAAATTGGCGAAGAATTTGGAAAGCGTCACTAAAGATCTAAAGTTGGTTAAACCCACTATTTTACCTGCCACTCGCAATAAATCGTCGAAGTGGTGGGGGGGAGGGAGTAGCCAGCAACGGGCCCCCCTTCAGGTCCAGAATTTAAACTCTCAACGCCCGGTCCGTCGAGGGGGCGAGACGAGACCATACAAGGGACAGCCTTCGAAGGGAGCACGTTGGACAAAGAAGGGCCAGCAGAGCCATCCTTATCACAAACAACGGAGGGATTAATATCGGTGAGTAAGAAATTCGCTGGACGTCTTGCTCACTTTTACGAAAAGTGGACAGACCTAACAGCTAATCCAATTGTTTTGGATTGGTTACGGGGTTACAAGCTCCCGCTTATTTTTAAACCTGTTCAGTCACATCCGCCCTTGTTCTGTTCTTCAGGGACGACAAATAAGCACTTTTTGAAAGAAATTGCCCACCTATTAGATTTAGGCGCAATAGAGAGGTGTGACCCTCTACCGGACCAATTTATCTCCAAAATTTTCTTGGTTGATAAACCCAATGGTAAAAAACGGTTCATTCTCAACCTCAAAAAGTTAAATTCCTTTATATCTGCTCCCCATTTTAAAATGGAGGATGTTCGAACTGCAAGAAGATTAATCCAAAAGGGATTTTTTTTTGCTACTCTAGACCTGAAAGAGGCATATTTTCTACTGCCGGTGCACAGGGATCATAGAAAATACCTCAGGTTTTCCTGGCAAGGGCAGCTTTTCGAATTTACTTGCTTGCCTTTTGGTCTAGCTTCTGCTCCATATGCTTTTACGAAGCTAATGAAGCCCGTCATTCAAAAGTTACGTAACAAGGGTATACTATGTGTAAGTTACCTCGATGATTTTTTGTTTTTGGGTAGATCTAAGGAAGAGTGTTCCCATAATATTTTAACGGCAATACAGTTGCTAGAATCTCTAGGTTTCTTGATCAACCTCGAAAAAAGCGTACTCGCACCTAACACGAATTGCAAATTTCTTGGATTCCTTTTGAATTCTATAAGAATGTCAGTAGAACTGCCACCAGAAAAGAGAGAAAGAATCAAATCTTGGATTTTTTCTCTTCGAAAGCACCCAACTTGCACAATACGTAAGTTTTCTCAGTTCATTGGTATTCTTGTCTCGGCCTGCCCAGCCATAAAATACGGGTGGTTATACACGAAGGTTTTCGAACGTGCCAAATACCAGGCTTTAATTAAAAACTCTGGAAATTACAACTCAAAAATGAGCCTGAAGCCTCATCTGTTTTCAGACATGTCTTGGTGGCTTAATAATATTGACAAAGCGTACAATGACGTTAAGAGTGATACTTTTGATTTAACAATTTACACCGATGCCAGCCTGTCAGGCTGGGGAGCGGTTTGTGATGGTGAAAGTACACGCGGCTGGTGGACCGATGTAGAAAAGGACAATCATATAAATTTCCTAGAACTCAAGGCTATCTTTTATGGCCTGAAATGCTTTGCGAAAGATCTGAGGAATGTTAATGTCCTTATTCGAACGGATAACACTACGGCCCTAGCCTATGTAAACAGAATGGGTAGTGTTCAATTCCCCAGGTTAAATCAACTGGCAAGGGAAATTTGACAGTGGTGCGAGGCAAGTAATCTTTGGATTTTCGCCTCGTACATTTGCGATAATTCTGAAGCTGATCACGCATCGCGTTTGCTGCTACCTGAAACGGAATGGGCGCTGAACAGAACTGTTTACTTTCACATAGTCTCAGTCTTTGGGTAACCTGAAATAGATCTGTTTGCTTCACAAAGTAACCACCAGTGTAGTAGATACGTCTCTTGGTTTCGGGACCCGGGGGCAGAGGCAGTAGACGCCTTTACCTTAGATTGGTCGTCTCTTTTCTTCTATGCCTTCCCTCCCTTTTCGCTTGTACTTAGGGTACTTCAAAAGATAATACAGGACAAGGCAACAGGGATCCTCGTAGTCCCTTTTTGGCAAGCTCAGCCTTGGTACCCACTCCTTGTAAATTTGATTGTAGGCGAACCTATGTTTTTAAGACCTAGACATAATCTTTTGCTCTGTCCTTTCAGCGGACACCTCCACCCTTTATCAGGAAGCCTTACCCTGGTGGTCGCGAGGTTATCAGGGAGGCCTTCAAACGAAAAGGACTACCGGACAATGCCATAGAGACTATTTTCAGCTCCTTAGCTGTTTCCACAGTTAAGCAATACAACACAACACTTAAACTTTGGTGGGAATTCTGTGAGGAACAGAAAATTTCCCCATATGAAGGCGAAGTATTAAAGATAATATCCTTCTTACAAAACCTGCTGGAAACCACGGAAAATAGATATGGATCCTTCAACTCCCACAGAGCAGCTTTAACCTTAATCACCTCGGGGAACATTAGTTCAGATCCTAACCTCAAAAGGTTTTTGAAGGGGATATCTAGAATTAGACCACAAAGGCCTAGATATGAAGCTACATGGGACCCCCAACAGGTGCTAAAGTTTTTGGGAAGCACCCCTGATGGCAATCTAAAACAACTGTTGCAGAAACTGGTGACTTTGCTAGCCCTAGCAACAGGACAAAGGATCCAAACAATCTCGTTGATTAAGTGTAGCAACATCAAGTTTTTAGACTCTGGCGTAAAGATCCTAATTCCAGACCAAATAAAAACGTCAGCACCCGGAAGGAAACAACCCTGTTTGAATTTGCCCTTTTTTGAGGAAAATGCAAGACTGTGCGTATCCAGATTGATTAAGTCTTACTTAACCCTGACTGACCCTGTAAGACCCACGGGCTGCGACAACTTGTTTTTGACCTACAAGAAACCACATGGGCAAGCAAACAAACAGTCGCTGAGCCGTTGGGTAAAAGCGACACTTAAGGAAGCGGGAGTGGACATGACTCTGTTTTGTGCCCACTCCACTAGACATGCGTCCACATCTGCAGCCCTAAGGAATGGTATGTCCCTGGACACTATTAGGAAGTCAGCGGGCTGGACCGAACATTCATCGTCTTTCGCTCGTTTTTACAATCGACCACTGGCAGTCTCAGACGAGTTTATGAATGCCGTATTTAAACTTTAATTAGTTATTAAGTTTTCTGTCCAGTTTACCGTAGTGGTACCACCCTTTGGAGGAGTACACTTAAGAATTCTTTTTTCTTTTTATGGTGTTTGCGTACTACACTGTTGCGTTACATACAATATAGCTGTTTTTACGACGTATATATTCTTTAAACATCTACAGTGTGTTACAAAATGATATATTCGGACCGGACGCCTCATATAATTCCGATCGAACTTCAGGTAAGTTCTTTTGATCGGTTAATTATCCTGCTATATAAAATTTTTGTTCAAAGATAAGACAGAATAGTAAATTCCGCGTTGCGTCGTGCCCTTAAACTCGTTGCGCGTGCTTTAAAGACTTGATTATACACTTGTATCTTAATATACTATTTTTTAAAGTTCTATAGATGTTCGTAAAATACGCAGTCCCATAGTACTCATGTAATATGTTGTATAAGTATTCTTGAAGATATACTTATACGACAATTTTATAAACATTACATAAGGCTATTGTGTAAGAGTTTTGTAGTTTACTAGAAGAACTCCCTAAATTACTAAACTGTTTTATAAACTAGGGCCCTTTTTGGTTGTGTAACCGTTGTATAGTATTATTTACCCGCCGTATACAATTTTCGGCTTTCTATAAGATATGCTGTATAGCATTTCTCATAACCTTTATAAAATAAATTTTGCTAGTTGGGAAGTCAAAATACTTGAGCGAGCTTGCAAAATTGCATCGGCAGGTTGCAAAACCCTCAAAACGTTTTTCATTAGGTTTAAGCAGAATCTAAATTCCATTCCATTCATGACACTTTTCAGTCCAATGCATTGCAAAATATCGTCTCCATTAAATTTAGGATTTTTGATGATGTCCAGTGTCCGCAAGATCTCTTTATAATTCGTCGAAATACCATTAACGATTGCCAGATGACCTGACCAACGTTGATCTAGAAGCATCACAATCGTGTTCCCTTCATAGATTGCTGCAACTTTTGAATCTGTAACAAATTTTTAAATATAAAAAAAGCGTTAACTCGTTTAGTCCTAGGCAAGCACCATACATAAGCGCAAAACTGCAATCAACTACGAAGACATTAGATTGCATGTAGTAGTAGCGCTTAAACTGCAAAAAAAGCATGCGATCGTGGTTGCATCATGCTTAGAAGTTATGAGTTCTGCGAGTGGGCATATCTCATTTTTGACTTTTACCACAAGGGGGTAGTAATAAACTCTATGTTCCAATTCATGTTCTCTAGCCTGAATTACTGATTCGGTGGCATAAAAAAACATCTTGTTTATAGCGGCCAACTAAAGTTTTTAATTGATCTATGCTATATAAGTATTTTGGCTCTCTACCGTTAGGAAATTGGATGTACCCGGGCCCTTATCCTGCTGGACTGATTTTAGGCGAAGATCCATGAAGGAATCTGGATGCAAAATCGGTTTCCGCTTTTGCTTCAGATCGAGTTTTCTGATATACGGCAAGTGACCGGATATTTTGCCAGTTCCCTTCTTGAAGTGAGGTTATCGCTGCATTTTCAATATGTTCGTGTCTTACTTTGCTAGGGAGCTCCTTCAACAATCGAATTTTTTCTTTTGCCCTCTCTTTTTCGGCTAATCGGTATGAATACTCTTCACCAACGTAATTATTCTCTAGTTTATCGAATTTAACCACAACAATAGTTTCCCACTCTCGTGTTTGCCATGTTTCAATTTTAAATTTTCTACAATTGGTGTGCTTACAATTAAAAAGTTAACCTTTTTTTAATGCGTTGTGGCTCCTAAAGGAACGATAAAATCCACTACCCCTCCCCCTCCCTCCCTAAATATTGTAGAACATGAATCAGAGAGTTAAAAGAGTACCAACAATTTAAAACTTGGCCAATTTTTGAAATTCGTTGGAAAAATTGGGCCTTTTTGATCGCTTGTAAAAATGTTTGTCTCGGCCTCGCCTCGGATTTTAATTCACGAGCACGTCCGCTAATGTGCTACTTATCGCAGGTCAAAATTATGTGCCTACTAGACTATTTTCAATTTTAAATGCTTCCCAACCACCAAGTTGAATTCCTGTAGTTTTCCTGTAGTATAATTAAATTTTAGTTGTGTTTCGCAAAATTAACTTTATTTTTTCTTCTTCGCTGCAATCTTGCCGCCACATCTTTGACACATATTTTCAAAGGTGGTGCAGTTTTCGTGACACCAGCCCTTGCACAACAGACATTGTATCCAGTCATCTTTTCCTTTTGTTACTGAATAAAGCCATGTTGAAGGAAACCGGAAAAGTAAATCGACAGACGGGTAATCGTATGTTGAAACCACAATGCGTTTTAGAATACAATCTAAAGATGGGCGCAGTTGATAAAATAGACATGCAAGTTAGTTTTATGGACTGTGCAAGGAAATCGTTAAAATGGTACAAAAAGTTGTTTTTTCATTTGATGGACTTGTGTTTGTATAATGCTTATGTGTTGTTTCAAGTGTCAACCGGAAATAAACCAGCTTTTTCCGATTTTCGATTACAAGTTGTGACGCAGATATTTGAAAAATATCCCATTGCTCTGAAGAAACGAAGCGCAGCACCTGGCGTGGATAACCCACTTCGACTAACTGAAAGGCATTTTCCACACCCCGTGCCACAAACGCAAGCTCAAGGGTCTAGAACTCAAAGAAGGTGCCATGTTTGTGCAGCGACACAGCGTGGGCAGAAGAAACACTCGGTTTATGTGTAAAGAATGTAACGTTGCATTATGCGTGCACCCTTGTTTTGAAAAATTTCACCCTTTAAAAAGATTTTAGGGAAACTATGTAAACACTTTGTTTTACCTATAATTTTAAGTTTCTGATTCCATTTCCATTTTTCATTTTTTTAAGAGTAAAGACATTTATTGTTTTATTATCCCTTCTGTTTCTTTTATAATAAAAACTAAATGCCATACGTGTACGTCAGCTGTACTGCTGCTAATGGTTTTTACAACTGACGTACCAGTAGGGCGTCCGTCTCTTTCAGATAATATTTTCGACGTACATGTACGGCGTGTGGTTATGTTGGGTTTGTAATAACGTAGTATATGTACGGCATTCGTCCAGTAAAACTACCAAAACTCTAAAAAGCGTACGGCAGCAGCCTGAATCTATTCCACATAAAAGTAGTACATGTACGGCACTAGGCCAGCAATGTCCTCTTTTCAAACCGTACAAATACGTCAACCATCCTGAATGGGTTAACAGAAGTGCCATTTTTGACAGCTTCAACTGCACTGTTTAAGTTCTTTTGAGGGTAGTTACCACGATTTGAATTTTTTCTTTTATAATTAGTTGGCATTTTTCCATAAAATGAAAAAATATGTATTAACGTACTATGGCCAACTCTACCGAAAATATATTGGCCATCTATCCCGACTACTACGGGAGAGATGGCCATTGGCCATGCCTTTTATACCTACGACTTCTAAATACACGTGCAAACGCTATGAAGGGTTATAATATTACAAACAACATTGTACTCACTTCAGTGGTTATAGAACCGCTTTTTTTAATCTACTGGCAGTAAAAACTACAATGTTCACAAAATTTTTACATGCTGTGAAATCTTTAACCTCTAATAACGTTAAAAATTGTACTGTTACACATTCCGCTGCAACGTGCTCATGTGAGTCACTTCAACTACTGTAACTACGAGTACACTCACTGGTAACACCATGTAACAATAACTTTTCCAACTTTTCGCGATTGGCCATCTCACCCCGAATTACCCTAAGCGTAGAAGATTTTTAGTTTTCTTATATTAATTATTTATATTAAAAGTTTGTGGCATCGTATCCAATATGTCACCATCTGATATACTTTGTTTCACTGGTGCTTAAAATGACGTTGTTTGGAATAAAATGAAAAAGTTCCCGATAGGAACTTGGAGACGATAGCTCTGGTAGCTGGTTCGCGAGCTAAACCTTTTGTTGTAAACGAGGTTGTAAATCTTCATTTACACAGAACCTTATACAGGTACTATTTATTTCATGACACAAATTTATGTACAATTATTTATAAAATTACAACACCCTTTGATGTAAATTGAGCACTACTAACTTTTGAGTCAACCTACTTCGATTGTAGGCGAAATGTGACTGCTTGAAAACTAAAAAATTGACTAATTAACACCCTAAAACTAAGAACATTTATTGCAACCATATGGGCTGCAATATTAGCGCAAAGGACCGCATGCAAGCGGCTCCTTTGCCTAGTCACGTATTAAATAACTTGGTGACAGGCGAAAACGGAAAGAACGCGGAAGTCATAAATTGAAATAAACATATGGAATTTGTAAAACCGCACAGAGCGTGTGAAAGATTGAAAGGGAAAAAATTCTAAGAGTTCTGAAAAAACAAAAATAAATGGAACTTATTCTAACTTAACAAAAATACTTATAAATTAACAATATAAAGACCGGCGGCGTCTAAATTGACAACAGACGTAATAAATGTGATTCTCGATACCTTGAGATACATATATGACATAGATAGATATATATCGTGATGGTCAGCATTTCGAGCATTTACGGCGGCATTAAAAGCTTCCTTTTTTAAATCGATCCACCTTAGGGCCATAAATTATATAATAAAAATAATTCCGCAAAAAGTAGCTTAAAAAAATAAAATTTTGAGGGTATAAAATTTTCTTTGGCCTAAATTTTAGGTTAGGAACAAGATATCGAGATGCGATTTCGCGAGCTTGTTTAGGCATAATTTAGCTATTTTTTCATGAAAAAAAATTAAACCAACGCATTTAATTTTTTTGAGAAAATTAACCATTTCTGTCGGAATGTCGAAAAAAGCCCTCAAGTGGCGATATGTGAAACTAACAAAACTTCAAATATTATAATATTTGTAGCCGATGGATAACTCTTTTCAATCAACATAAGTTTGTTAAAATCGGCTCAGCCGTTTCGAAGATACTGGGTGTTCTTTACGGAAACCTTTGAATACCCCCCACCTCTTCATCTTTAGAGATACAGGAAAAATTGTCAAACAAAAAAGGTTCAGATTATCGTTGTCTTCAAAGACCGAACATTTTTTTGTTAGGTTAATATAGCGGAATTCACAGACACATCCTTTTTTTAGATTCCAGATTGCAGTTACGCCCCTTAGCGGCCATTTCAGAAACTTAAAAATATTCTCCACGTTTTTCTCGTGGCCGTTTTAGGAATAACTTTTTTTTACCGCAAGCCTTTTCACCAACAATATGCGTATTCAGAGAAACAATTGAATTTTATGGAGATCGGCAGGAGGAAAATAGAACGGTACGCGCGAATTCACAACCTATTGACTAATTGTGAATTCAGAAATAACCTGCAGCACATTTTAAAAGACAAATTTGTCTGCGATGTATTGCCGGGGAAGGAAAGGTTATGAAAAGGAGAAAAGAGGGGAGTCGTGTGTTAGATTAGGTGACAGCAGCAAAGCGGCAGGTAAATGGACATGCAAGTGTTGTGGGAAGCAACACATGGGAAACCAAATGTGTAAGTACAAGAATTACAAGTGTAATGTCTGTGGTAAAGTTGGACATTTAGCCACCGTCTGTAAATCTGTGAATTTTGTAGAGGACAATGCACAATCGGAGGAGGTAATAAATATGTTAGAATTTAATAATAGAAACCCTGTCACAACAAATGTTAAATTTAACAATATAAGTTTAAATATGTTAGTGGGTTGTCGCGGCCTTTTGGCATAATTTGCCACGATTGGGTAGCTCAATTCCTGCGGGAGCTTGGACATGGTCGGAGATGATGACATTTGTTGGGCGCCAATGTGTCTTGATGTACGCGCTGACCGACAGATAAACCAAGCGCGTCTGTACTAAACGATAATGCAATACAATTCAGTTTATTAGGAAGACAACAAATTATAAGTAGCCTCCTTAAACGCAATGATCATTCAGGGAACATCACTATGCTAATTATATTACAGGATGAATTAGCAGTTTGTACATAATTAGTGAAGTGAAAGGCGTAACATGATCATGAATGAAGATTGTCTATGAACGTGATTGAAATAAAATGAAGGCGAGTAACGATACAAGCTTATCTGGAATGTCGGAGGTCTCCAATCCACTGGCAGGAATGGTATCGCTGACACTGAGGGATGGTATCTTGACAAGACTTTAGCGTTAATCTGAGCTTATTCGGGACGCACACACAGAAGACAGAAGATGCGGATAAACCTCGACAAGTTAGTTCAAAAACTCTCTTGCCAAAAAAACCCCTCCCGGAGCTTTTAAGCCTAAGGATGTCGGAACAGAAAACACTCACGTAAAGAACGACCCACTTGCAACACAAGCGATCCTTATCGACGGTTTTACCTCGATGGCTGCTTCACCTAAACGATATTTTTCATTGGATTTTTCACAATATATGACAATTGTAAGGGACGTCTACTTAGCCATTACTCGCGATAAAGTGTTTAAGCAATCAGTATCTCTTCTATATGAATTAGGAAAAATTAAATGTGATTTATCAATACAGAAAATTATTAAAAATTATTTAACGGACCGCAGTTTATAGTAATAAATATCAGAAAATAACAAAAGAAATCAGTAAAGGTTGTCCACAAGGATCAGTATTAGGACCTACTTTTTGGAATATTATTTTTAACAATAGTTTTCAAGAGAATGTCAAAGAAATTGCATATGCGGATGATAAAATTTTTATACCTAATTGAAGAAAACTCAAGAAAAAAATTAGAAGATACTGGAAATGAAATAATAAAAAAATTTGAAAATTGATGCACTGAAAATAAATTAACGATATCGCATGAAAAAACTGAAATGATACTTTTTAAAGGAAATATTCGTTGAAACTACCAAACAGCTACTGATGTAGATTCACAACCAAACGATTTAACGGGCAATCAAACTGAAAGTGCAAATGAGCCCTAAAACGTAAACGCGAATCATGAATGGGTTTAGTTTATTTCGTGACTTACTTTTGATAGAAATCGGCTTTTAGATTAAATGGACGTCAAAAAATTGATTTAATTCCAATTATGGATTTGTAATCCCCAAAACTGTAGACCAATTAACGTGGCCCGTGATTTTGTTTCAAAGCGGCCCAAAAACTAATATGTAGTTCAATTTAGTACGAGGTAAATCTAATATTTTTTAAACCTCGAACTGTTCCCATTTCCCTTAAATCGAAAGTGGAAGAAGAAATTTCCAGACTGGAGAAGTTTCGCAAATCGAAAGGGGAACACCGCTGGTTCCCGTTCTTAAGAAGGGGTGTTACTATGTATTATTACGTATTGTTTTGAAAGCCAGGCCTTTCAAGGCGGGCGCCATGTTTAAAATATCCAAGTTTTAAATTCCGACTATATACGAATGTACTCGAGGAGGTGTTTTTGAGTTTGTTCTTAGGTTGTAATTGTAAGAGCAGTAGGAGAATAAAAACGTGTTTTTAAGTTCAATTCATTACAATCGTTTTTATACAATTCTCAACAGATACACATGGATCTTTGCGGTCCTATCATTAATGTATATTACTTAATTATTATAGTCGTCTCCCGACTTACTTTTCAATTTGATGATGAGATGTGCATTTTCAACATTTCAATTTATTCCCTCCTGCTTCAGTCAGTTTTATATACACCAGTTTCATCTTCTGCTAGCAAGCACTCCACATAATGGATGGATGTAGGTTTCGTCTAAAAATTTGATCGGTTTCTTGTTTGTCCCTAAAGCATCGTGTTCTTTCATTATTCGTTCCATTAATAATTTTCGCTTATCATGACATTTTTAGAGCATTTTCATATATGCATATGCATATATGTTGCAATAAAGGCACAAAACCATAAAAAACGAAGATTAGATGAGGTAGAAATTGACCCTGATTTTGTGATGCCTTCACCACCATCAAGAACTTCAAGTTTACAAAGTTTAGAAGAGATTGATGAAGAAAGCAAAACCCCATCGCCAACCATCATTATTCATCAAAATATTGTTATTTGCTCTTCCAATTCACAAGTCCCTAATTTAGGCGAAAATGAAACCACTGAAGATCCTGATCTCGGTTCTGATAGTATGTTTATGACGCAAATTATCGATGTCATAATTGATTCCGCACTCGCACAATGCCAAAAGAAAGAAGCAAGTTTATATACTAAAGTAATAAAGAAAAAAATAGAGGACAAGAAAAACAAACATGGTGTGACAACCCCATGTGAAAATACATGCAAAAAACGATGCACGGAAAACATTTCCGCGGATGAACGGCAAATAATTAACGCCAATTTTTGGAAAATGACAAATCTGGAGCAAAAAAGTTTTGTATTAAATATGACAGAGAAAAAAGACACAAAAAGGAAGACCGTTTTAAACTCTCGAAGGTCCCTGAGTTTTACATATAGACTAAAAAATGGTGAAGGTGAAATAAAAGAAGTACACTGAAAAAAAATTAGTAGTCAAAACAAAAAATTATAATTAGATAAAAGAAAACTGTTTAAATAATCTACATTTTTATATAGTCGAGAAACGTGAATTTGATGATACATATATTTCAAATTAGTTGGTGATGCTATCGCTAATTCATCTTACAACATTGGCTAAAAGAACTATTATTTAGTTGTTTTGTTAATACCTAATGCTTTTTACTAAAAATACAAAAACTTATTGTATATTGAAGCTACATAACTTTAGATACATTGTACACTAAATAGCTCCTTTACTAAATTTAATCAATGTGTCACCATATTTTGCAAAATCAACTACTAAATGGCTGTATTAAAGAAAGCAATTCTTTGCTATTTATATCTCTCCGCTGTGCCGTACAAAATAAAATAGTCATTCCGGTTAAAGTTGACGTTCGCAGTTCGCATACAGTATTCTTGAAGAAGTTACTTGTACCTACCTATCAACATAATTTATTGTTGTTTAATTAAGTTTGTTTATGGATGAAATTAATTGTGAAGTGTTGCTTCGACAGTGGGGGCTGGAGGAGCTCATTGCCGACTTTGAAGGTAAGCATTTAAGCAGTATTCAATGAGTTACTAATTTGTTTCAACTATGATTTAATTTTCTCTGTTTTTGTACTATGTAGGTAATTATTATAGTTTGTATTTATTTTAGCGAAAACGGAAAAAGATTGATATCGAAGTATTAAAAGAATTGACGGTTACTGACATCGACAATCTCATTCCATTAGAGAAATTTGGAGTGAGAATAAAATTTAGGCAACAGTTATTTGCTTGGAAACGAGATAATGTATGGTTTAAAATTACTATTTAAAGCAAATATTTAATTTCAAATTGTAGGGATATGTTACACCGCTTGCAAGTACTGTTTCTGTGAGTGCAGATCCATCATTTAATGCAATTGAAAATTGGTTAAATACAGTTCCTGTTGTTTTAGATGAGGTAACAGGGTCCGAAAATTGTGTTAAATTGGTGAGTATTAATTAATTGCAGTCATTTTAATTTTTGCCAATCTCCATTTTTGGAAAGTACTTACATGAAATATTTTTAGGACCTACTAAGCCTAATGAAAAGTTCAGTTACTGGAAAAGTAACTATCCATAATTATAATACGCATAAAACATTATCTGTGAATGATAGAAATACTGTCTCAACTTTAATCGCTGAGTTTTGGTTAAACAACAATATTAAAGTGTCTCATAAGGAATATGAAACTGCAGCTAACCAAATAAAAATCAATTTTCCTTCTGAAGATGAGGTAACAGTGCTACTGTTTTTACTCGAATTTATATAATTTGTGTTTTAGAAAACATACTTAAATAGTAAAAAACAACGGGGAAAATTAGCTGAAAAGTACTATAGTCTTTGCAAAAAATATCGTCAACAAGGACTTATAAAAAGTAGATACAATTTGAAACGAAAGGCAGTAGACGACATAAGTTCGTCAACCAGTGAATATAATGATGACTTGGAAGGAGGGGAAAGTTTTGGAGATTACGAATGGTTACGGTACAATACAGCACCCCCTAATTTAGTATATGAAAAGTGGGGTAGGACCTTCAGGCAACGTAAGAAAGATATTGCTGGAGATGTTAACATTTTTGAGAGATGGCCCATATTAAAGCAAGAAATTGCTGTTTCTTTGGTAAGTTAAATTTTTAATTGAATGTTTAAAAAAATCTTGTTTTTACAGATTGAACTGGACTTTAATAAAATTTATCCTGACAAAAACACATTGCTCTTTGCAAAATGGGATCAATTTGCTATTAAAATTAAACCTATATACTTACGAGATATTAAAGACAAAAGATGCAAATTATTATTAGATTATTTAGAATCTCCGACAGTTAATGAAGGTTTGTATACAACTTTTAATTTATACAAGTAATTAAAAGAATTACTTTTAGATTCTAAACATTACATACTGTGCATAAATTTAAATGCTTTATTTATTCCTCATATAATAAAAAAGGGGAAAGAAAAACCATATAGACCATCTATTTTGGATGCTCAAAATTCTTTTGCAGTTCACGTTACGGTAAGGTAATTTTTGAGTTTTATCTTTATTTGACATTTTTGTATTACAGGATAAAACGTATGTACAAACTTACATAGAAAAACGAAAAACGGAATTAGAATCGCAAAACAGGACATTCCAACCCACCATCATTGTGGTAGGTGACTCTATTCATAATTTGGTATCTTTTTATGTATATATTAATGATGTCTTATATGAATGCAGTTCATTTTTAAAAGCTGTTTCAACTACATTTCAGATATATCATGTTTTTAACCTAAAGTATCCGTCTGAATGTATGCAAGTGTGGCAGTTTTTTGAAAATTATTTTTATGAATTGCCCAATTTAACTAAAATTAGTACAGCGCTAAATGCAGTTATATCTGAAATGATTCGTTGATCTGTCCTTCTTTTGTCAAATCATTGTTCTTAAAATGAAATGTTTTTTATGCAATAATACATTTCAAAATGCAAGCGTGTATATGAACCATTTAAAATTAGTACATAAGTGTAAAAACACTTTATCAACATTTTCATGTACAGATTGCCCACAATTCTTTCAGTCTTTATACTCATTTAAACGTCATATTAACCACCATTTAAACGCCCTTAAAAGTTGTGTCCAAGATCATAAAGTAGATAAACCAGATAGACCATTACAACAAGAAATAAGCATTGTACCCACCGAAAATGTAAACAATATTTTAAATGAATCATGTGCAGGTTCTCTCATAGATCATAGCGCAGATATACCTCAGCCAATGTTAAATTGTGCTGATTTGGAAAATGATTATTATGAAATCATGAACCAAATTAATGGTTTTATTATTAATCTTTTTGGCACCATCTCCTTAAATAGAAAAACTGTTATACAAATAGTACAGTTTATTCAAAATTTAATTCTACTTCCTTTAATGGATTATATAAAACAAAAAACAAACCCCGACAGTAAGGACGTTCAGTTAATGATCAATGTCTTGAAAAAAATTACAAATTTATTTGATATGTTTAAATCGGAATATAAATTAAAACAATATCTTTCAAAAAACGACTTGTATTCTGAGCCTATGGAATTTATAATAAACAATAGTTGCACGCCAGACGAAATGTTGAACATTTCGAAAGGTATATTGTTGCCTCTAGAAGATAATATAAGAAGATTTTTAGAATCTCCAAAAGTTTTTCAATCAATGCAAACAAATTTGGAAAAAGTTAATAATCAAAGCGAAATTACTAACATATGCAGTGGTAGCGTTTGGAAAAACAAAATTGATCTAAAATTTGATAACAAATGTGTAATACCTTACTTAGTATATCAAGACGACTTTGAAATCAACAATCCATTGGGATCAAAAAGCGGAGTTCAAAAACTTTCAGCTGTATATATTACTTTTCCGTTATTAAATTCTGAAGATATTTCTAAATTGAATAACATTTTTGTAGCGTGTCTTACACGGTCATCAAGTTTAGAATTTGGCTTGGCTAAAAATTTTGGACCTCTTTGCTCTCTTTTAAAAAATTTAGAGGAAAATGGTATACAAATTACTATTAATTCCAAACCTAAACGCGTATATTTAATTTTATCTGCTCTAGTAGGAGACAATTTAGGCTTAAATACTATAATGGGGTTTACACGGTCTTTTTCTGCAAACTTTTTTTGCAGAATTTGTCGATCTCACAAAGATGAAATGAAAAAACAAACGGTAGAAAACAAACTTGTCTTAAGGACGGCAGAAGACTATTGGCAACATTTATTTCAAAATGATGTATCTCAAACAGGAATCAAGGAAATGTGTGTATTCAATGCTATACCATCGTTTCGTGCCGCAGACAACATATCGGTAGACATAATGCATGACATTTTTGAGGGGATTTGCCACGTAGAACTTTGTCAAATTTTAAATTGCTTTGTATATGATAAAAAATATTTTACATTATCAATTTTAAACAACCGAAAAGCAAACTTTCAATATCATCGTTCTGATTATGGTAATAAATCTGTTTCTATTACAGTGAAAAACCTAAACAGCAATAAGCTAAAAATGTCTGCTAGTGAAATGCAGTGCTTTTTACATCATTTACCATTATTAGTTGGAGAGCTGGTACCAGTGAAAGATCCAGTGTGGGCCTGCCTCCTCTTGCTTATAAAATTAACAAATCTATGTTTTCTTCCATCGTATAACGAAAATACATTGAATAAACTACAAAACACAATAAAAAATCACCACGAGCTTTATTTGGATCTTTTTCAAAAAGAACTTACTCCTAAGCATCATTTTGTGGTGCATTATCCAAATGTTATACGTAAACTAGGACCTTTAAAAGGATTGTGGGTAATGAGACAGGAAGCTAAGCACAAACAAGCAAAATTATATTTAAACAATATTGCGTGCAGAAAAAATGTTTTAATGAGTGCAGCAATCAAGTGGCAATTTAATTTGGCCGGACATTTACATTCTCTGCAAATGAAATATCAAACAGATTTATTAATGGGAGAATATTTTGACCTGAGTGAAAAAGTTTTTAATGTTAACTTTGATAGTATAGAGTTTAATTCCAATTTGTTGAAAAACGTTTTATGTTGTTCTAAAGTACATGTATGTAACACAAAATATCAATTAAATGATGTTGTTGCTATCAATTCTAATGGTTTAATATCCTTATATTCTATAGATTTTATTATTTGGGTTGAAGGAAATTATTATTTTCTTACAAAATCTATTCAAATTAAACGGTATGATAAACATTTACTATCTTTTATTGTTGAAAAGCCAACTTCCAATATTGACACTATATTAATGTGCAATAAAATTATGTACCCACCGACAAATGTGGTAACGTTATATGATAAGTCGATGGCTATTAAATTAAAACATTCTTTTGGATTTCAAGTTTAGTGCATGGAAATGTTTACAACATTGTTTGATAAAAAAATTATATACATGTAGACTTTTGAAAGGTATTAATGCATAGTTCTAAACGTAATTAGTGTGTTTAAATAGTATACTTAAGTTAAATTTAGTACTAAAACTTTTTCTATGTTTTTTGTATCTTACTTAAAAAAAATAAACAGTTATATTTTAATAGTGTTTTTATTTATTAAATGTAGTTTAAATATCTAATCAAAATGTTTTACACGCTTCTTTAATTTGAACAAAACATTAGTAAAAATGTCTAGTTTATATTAATAGGTACATTAGTCATAATAAGTGTCTGAAACTTCGGATAATAGTTAGATATTTTATAAACAAAAAGGTAAATTAACTAAATCACAAGAGTCGAGTAAGCTAAATAATATGTCTAGTATTTAAAAAAAATTAGACAATTTTCTTAAATTTAGTAGTTAAATGAAACAATTATGTAGTACCATATATCTATTCAAATTTATAATGACAATTATTCTAATTAATTGTTTTTACTATTCGAGTAGATAAAACAATCACATTTCTTAGTAGAAAAAATACAACTATCTAATTAGATTAAATGCCTAACTGCATTTTTTGGCTAATTTTTATTGAAAGATTTTAGACAATGAATCTAATCTTTTTTTAGTTGATCTACGTAATTTTTTTCCGTGTATGTAAGAGGTTTTTCTTAGCAACTCTGGGGTATTCACTAAATATCGATCGGGTTATACGAACAGCTTTATCTGCAGGTCGATTAGAATTAAAAGCGAAATCTAGTCAACGTGGCCGTTCCAGTTCAACAAAGAAAATAGATCGCACATTAATACAACATCATATAGAATCGTTCAATCCCACAATATCACATTATAGGAGGGAACATGCTCCAAATAGGAGATACCTGCCAAGTGACATTACGATTGCAATGATGTACAATCACTTTAAGGAAAAATATACAGATATATCGTTTTCCTACTATCTGTACAGAGAAGTTAAGTTGTTAGTAAAATGAATATTTCGTTTTCATCTCTTGGACACGAAGAGCGCTTCATTTGTGAGAAAATAAAAATGCATGAAAAGACGTCTAATCATAACTCCAAATCCTTAGAAATTGCATGCGATGCATGTGCCTTATGGAAGAAACATATAGAAAAAGCAAACCTGGCTAGGAAGCAGTACCAGAGTGATGCTAAAGCTGACATTCCTGATACCCTGACATGTTCCGCAGATCTTCAGAAGGTAAACACATCACTATAAATAGTTTATTAAACGGCTGTAATAAAAACGTTACCTCCAGAACACAATTAAAACAGCATTTTTTGTTTCAGGTCATTCCTCGGGCAGAAATGTTCAAAGAGGTGATCTTTGTACCGCGCATTATCGCCTTTAACGAAAGCATTGTTCCGGTAGGAAAAATGCAGAAGACCTTTCCAACGGCTGTTGTGTGGCATGAAGCGACTTCAGGACGATCGAAAGAGGACATTATAAGTGCTTTTTACGCATTCTTTTTAGATAATAGAGATGTCAAAATAGTATATTAAGATACAAGTGTATAATCAAGTCTTTAAAGCACGCGCCACGAGTTTAAGGGCACGACGCAAAGCGGACCCATGTAGATATGAATATTGTGTTTACAACGTGTTTATATCGTACCAATATTTGAATATTTGTCAATGAAATTCAATATTGGCACCATATCGTCTGAATATTTGTCATTAAATATTGTACAATTTATATTTACATAATACTGCATTGATATTGTGATTTCAATGAAAGTAAAAATCATGATATTGGATATTGTGCAAATATCGTTGTTACATCATTTTGAAGATATTGTAGATACAACATTTGGCCGACATTGAACCAACATTGTAATTTCAATATACGAAAAAATAATTATTTTGAATATTGTGCAAATATCGTTGTTACATTATTTAGAAGTTATTGTACTACATCATTTAGCCGATATTAAACAAATATTGTAATTTCAATAAACGAAAATATAATGATTTTGAATATTGTGCTAATATCGTTGTTATATCATTTAGAAGTTATTGTACTTACGATATTGAACAAATATTGTAATTTCAATAAACGGAAAAATAATTATTTTGAATATGGTGCAAATATCGTTGTTACATCATTTAGAAGATATTGTGCTTACAACATTTATCCGACATTGAACAAATACCGTGATGCCAATATAAGCAAAAATAAATATTTTGAATATTGTGCAAATATCGTTGTTAACACATTTAGAAGTTGTTGTACTTACATCATTTAGCCGATATTGAACAAATATTGTAATTTCAATAAACTAAAATATAATGATTTTGAATATTGTGCAAATATCGTTGTTACATCATTTAGAAGTTATTGTACTACATCATTTAGCCGATATTAAACAAATATTGTAATTTCAATAAACGAAAATATAATGATTTTGAATATTGTGCAAATATCGTTGTTACATCATTTAGAAGATATTGTGCTTACAACATTTATCCGACATTGAACAAATACTGTGATTCCAATATACGCAAAAATAAATATTTTGAATATTGTGCAAATATCGTTGTTAACACATTTAGAAGCTGTTATACTTACATCATTTAGCCGATATTGAACAAATATTGGAATTTCAATAAACGATAATATAATGATGTTGAATATTGTGCAAATATCGTTGTTACATCATTTAGAAGATATTGTGCTTACAACATTTATCCGACATTGAACAAATACTGTGATTCCAATATACGCAAAAATAAATATTTTGAATATTGTGCAAATATCGTTGTTAATACATTTAGAAGCTGTTATACTTACATCATTTAGCCGATATTGAACAAATATTGTAATTTCAATAAACGATAATATAATGATTTTGAATATTGTGCTAATATCGTTGTTATATCATTTAGAAGTTATTGTACTTACGATATTGAACAAATATTGTAATTTCAATAAACGGAAAAATAATTATTTTGAATATTGTGCAAATATCGTTGTTACATCATTTAGAAGATATTGTGCTTACAACATTTATCCGACATTGAACAAATACTGTGATGCCAATATACTCAAAAATAAATATTTTGAATATTGTGCAAATATCGTTGTTAACACATTTAGAAGTTGTTGTACTTACATCATTTAGCCGATATTGAACAAATATTGTAATTTCAATAAACGAAAATATAATGATTTTGAATATTGTGCAAATATCGTTGTTACATCATTTAGAAGATATTGTGCTTACAACATTTATCCGACATTGAACTACTATTCCAATATACGAAAAATAAATATTTTGAATATTGTGCAAATATCGTTGTTAACACATTTAGAAGCTGTTATACTTACATCATTTAGCCGATATTGAACAAATATTGGAATTTCAATAAACGATAATATAATGATTTTGAATATTGTGCAAATATCGTTGTTACATTATTATTATCTTGGTTATCGTTGAGTTGTTAGCGACTTCCGTCGTTCCGTTCACCCGCATTTGCCGTTTGAAGTTTCGACCCTACCAACAGTGAGATCTTGTCGGAGAGTACCAGCATTCCCTTTGTCGGCATCCACTACCGACGTTCGGAAGTTTTAAAAAAAGGGCACTGTGAATGTTGAATCGATTAGACTCGACTTTTTACATTGCGTCTTATATGGCTAAAATATGCCCAGTTTCAATTTCATGCAATTCGGTTCACAAATGGTCGAGATGTCATAAGGGCCTCCCTGCAAAGATTCATCGTAATCGGTCCATTTGTTTTCCAGATATCGTGCAAACGGACCGACAGACGGACGGACAGACACCGCAAAATTATGAACTCGCTAGGAGCTCGTTAATAATGGCTGATACTCGACTGCATATTGTTGTAACAGAAATAAAGCTGATGATTATTGTGACGGAATGAAATTACTCTGATGTACATGGTGGGGCTAAGGCCCTTCGGATCATAATTGCTTCACGTAATTTGTTTAGTATACTTTATATTGAAAAAATAAAATGTTTGATTGACCTTCGTCAAATGTCGTATTTTTAAAAAAGACTGAAAATGAGGCAGCTCAGATTCTGGGGGCATATACACAGGAGGAGTAAAGATCATATATTGCAAGTCGCCAAGAATCTACACGCCGCGGTATGGAAGGTAGGGCGGCCCTGCTTCACATGGAACACCACCATAGACCAAGCGATTGAGGCCTCGGGGATACCCAGGGAACGATGGGTAGAGTGGAGTAGAGATAAACAACAAATGAAGACCGAAAGCAGACGAATGCTTGAAGTGGAGGAAGAATCCGATATAAGTACAAGCAGCCAGGAAGAAGACGCAGATGAGACAGAAAGCAATACAGGGGAAAGACAACAATAAGAAGGGAAAAGCAGCGTAGGAGCGAAGAAGCGAGAGGAACGCCGGGAGGAGGGGCAGTAGATTGAAAGCTGAGTTCCCACTAAGGCAGTATACCAGTGGCGAAGCTGTGGCCGTACCCCTTTGGGTCGGAAAGAAAAAAAAAACCAGTTAGCCGCCCCCCTCACAGCCCCCCCAATCCCCAAAATCCACCACATTGTTTGGCATATGTCGCGGCCCAGCGCAATGGCAACAAAGTTGTGGAGATGTACCCCAGCTGTTAGACTCTACCAGGGATACATCCCCACGACAGCTGACTTAATTCTGGGAGAGGCGGAACCGCCAGGCATATGTCAAAGTATCAAGTATCAATTGAAATGGCAATTCCCTAAACAAATTGTAGTTCTGGATATCCGAAACTACAAACTTTCCACTAGCACAAAAAACCACATACCTATTCAATTATATGTGATAGTGGAAGAGGTCTTAGTCTGTGCCTCAATTCAAAACTTAGCCGCCGCCGGAGCGATTTAGTTTCTCTAAAAAAAATTCGTCGATTGGTCAAATTTTGAGGAAAAACGGGTTATAAAACAGCGAAATCGTTAAAATTAAGGGCATAATTAATACGTTACATAAAAAATACGTAATTTTCAAGTACGTTCCCATTCTGCAATTAAATGTGGGGCGTTCCATTAAAAAAAAAAGTAAGTTTGATACGCCACTGATGGAATACAGCACGCCACAGGTGATTAGAAATATTCCATAAATTTGAGGAATTATCCGTTAAGTACTGGTATACACTTGCCTCTCGTTTTCAATGAGTCAAGCTTTCTTATGCAAATTCTCTTTAGTTTAGATTAACAGAACCGGAATTTTCTTGAAATTTCTCAATCCGTCTATTTTGCGGGGGGTACAGCTAGAGCTACAGGTAAAGTATTCTGTAGTATTTCTATTTAGAAAGAAGGATTGAAGGATCCCACGCTTTGATCTCAATGCACGATAACCGAAGTGCAATACGATTTACAGCTGTGTGAATTCTAAATAGGATGTAAGCAAGCAGTTATTTAGATATAATTTTCAAGGAAGGGCTTTTTCCCAAACGTGTAGTAGGTACTATCAAAAGCCTGTGGTCCTGCGTTTTAACATTGAATAAAAACGCTATTTGGTTTTCATTTTGCAATCAAGTTCAGACAAGCTTTGTATAAACTTCGCACACATGTTACCGGTTCCTAGTGTCTTCGAGCGTATGTCTGAATTGATTAACAAATCAATGGCGCAATCAAGGCCGCACGTACTCCTGATTCCAAGTAGGCGATTATAATATAATCTTTCTTGTGGTTTAGCGAATTTTGTATAAGATACACCCCCTTTAATTTAATTAATTTCTTATTTACCTATTTATTAATCATTAATGCGACTTTGGTTAAAGTAGGTAAAGCATGACATTCAAATCTGGCAACACTACCCAAGGCCAAAGGTTATAGTTATAGCATTGAATATAAACACAGTTATAGGAGCGAGAATTGAGAAACGCATTTGGTCGTTTCTGTTTGTCAGTACCTTGCAAGTGCAAACGCGGCAATGCTTTCTTCTCATTTCACGTGAGGTGTGAATACTGAATAGAACGAGACAGATGAGCTTCTGTAGCTTAACGCTATAACGTCAATCCGCTTATACTGCTGTTTTGCAATTGAGGCAGAGCGTTGAGTGGGATTTATCACTCAACGGGCAGAGGCAAGCATTCGTCTCGCCCCGCATCCGTGTGCAAGCTTTCTTTCAATTCTTTCATTGTTAACTATTTACATTTAGCAATTAGCACAGTGTGGTCTGGCAAGTACTTATGATTGTTTAACGTTTAACCCCTGATTGAATTGAATATACGGTTTAAGTATTTTAAGTGTCTGATTTGATAGTGCCCGTTATCTGCCACAGTAAGGTAAGTCTATAAATTGTATATTTTCCAGCAATCTAGATTCCTACATTGAATAGATATGATACCGTGACTGTGCATAAACATGATAAACAAGCACTTGCATGTACCTAAAGTTGAAAACCGAAAAGCTATTATGTCAGAGTCCTTTGTGTCAAAAATTCTTATTCAATCGGCATTTTGATTTACACATCGTCTAATTATATTTCTGCTCAATTATTTGCTTGCATAATTATTCCTAGTGTATTCCATTTTTTTTATATAAAAAACAGCTTTAGCAGTACTTGTACTTATATCATTGAAAAGACAGTATGTAGGTACTAATATTCAGATTATCGCTTACTTTCTAAATCCTGTAATTACCTAGTTTAATTTATTAACGAGCTCCCAAGAGAGTTCGCCATTTTTCGGTGTTTATCCCTTAGCTTAGGGCTTAGGATGAATGATCGATTACGATAAAATCATTGCAGGTAGATCCTTTGTCGAATTTGTCGATCGGATTTCGTGAATTAGCAATTACGGCCAAACAAATAAGGTCATTTATGAACCTCTAATGCATTAATTACATTCAATCTGTGCATAATCGAATTTTATGAAATTTGGAGGAGCTCGTTTGCTATAATTGTTCCAATTTTTTATACAGGGTGTCCATTTTTCAATTTGCCACTATGGGCATCTCGCTTATCTTTAAGAGATAGGATTTTGATGGTTAAATGAGTGCAAAGTTGCGAGTTTTCGTGCTGAAAAATAATCTGAAAAGAAATTTAAATTATCTTGATAAACTAATCGTACTTACTAGATATTTCTAACCAAAACATTATTCAGACACTTTTTTATGGAAGATCCGAAAATGCCATCTAGTTTTTAATAATTTTCAAGATGACTGAGGAACACGTGGCAGCCTTATTTTTGTATGGGCCCCATTTTGGATTTTGACAATTTTAGATTAAGCCTTTTTTCTCTTTACAAGGATGTATCACATAATATGGTGGTTCATTGTCACATTTTTATTGTGATTTGGAAAATCAAAAAGTTCTTTAGTTGTAAACAAAAGTTTGACAGTTTTACCCATCTGCTCGTAGTTGCATTGGCATGGAACTACTCAGTTGTGTTGAGAACATTCGATTTTCAACCGAACGAAAATTTGTACCATGTCTAGCACAAACGCTACCTAGTTGAACTAGGATCAAACTGTCAAACTTTTGTTTACAACAGCAATTTTTCCAAAGCACTCTTCGCAAAGAATGTATAAGGAAACTTGGGGTGCCACGCGTTTCTCCTGCATCTTAAAAATGTAAAAAAACGGGATGACATATTCGAATTTTGCTATATTTCGAAAACTGGACACCATGTATTTAAGTTTCAGCATTTCATGTAATCTTTAACAAATAATAATAATGTTAATAATAATAATAATAATAATAATAATGTTTAATATTCTACAAAAAATAAAATCCGTTTAAGTACAGAATATGTTGTTTTAACATTACCACGTATAAACTAAAATAAAACAAAATTATAAAGTAGTTTTCAAAATGACATATAGTAAATCGAATAGCAGATTAAAGAAAAACAAATAATAACTTTCATTGTTTGTTGTTGTTTAATGCTCTTTGTTTCCTTCTTTATTTAAAAGATTGGTTTCTCACTTCCTCAACTTGAAATATGTGTCATTGTTGCCAACATATGACGGGATTCTCATATGGCTAGAAAATTTCTATTGCATTTTCTACATTTTAATTAATGTTATAACGTACGAAGAACGATTCAACATTATTTTATCGCCATTAAAGATTCGCAGGATAATTGCCTAATTGGTTCTGTATTTCATTTCTTCGTGGTAATTTTTCATACCCTATTCTGCAAGTTTCAATAATGGAATCTTATTATTAGTGCCTACTTTAGATATAAAATATAATTATGGAAACAAATAATTTCTTGCGATGCTGTATAGAAGTAACTGCAGTACTTGGCATAAATACGTTTTAAATTTTAAAATGAATCAGTATACTAAAATGAATTTATAATGTTTTAACCGAAAATCAGAAACTTGTTCGGACTTATAAGTAGGAAAGCTGACATACTTACGTAGTGATATCTTACTAGTAACGTGGAGGGGTGAACATGACGTATCATGATGTACCTACACCAAAATTAAAAATTACCAAATATTAAATGAATTCAGTAAACTCAACACAACATTTCCAAAATTGCTACTATTTGTACACCAATGTTACGAGATGGCCAACCCTTCGGTTAATGTGTATGTTTAAGTATTGACAACCATGATTATTTGTAGATGTACAAACCTACAAGTCGTTCAGCAAAGCATATATCAATTAAACGTAAACTAGCATCTCTGAAGCATGTACGCTATGCAACAGATCAAAAAAAGAATATGGAAACCTACGCTTGTACCTCGACTTCCTCGACAACTGTGTTAAAATCTAATGGGGATGCTAAACAAACAAACATTAATAACAAACATATGTTCGGTACTAACATACCCAATTCTTTTGATTCACATGATGAATCTGTGCATGAAATTGAACATCTACAACTTAACATCTCTAGTAATTCAAGTTCGAACAGCAATAGTGTTTGCGACATTGATAACCAAAATTTACCTAGTGACTGTAATACACATATGGTTCCTTCAATAACTACTTTACCAGAAGAACTGAAGTTTTGGTCGATAACAGAAAAAGTTACTCATAAACAATTAAATTCTTTATTACGGATTTTAAAAAAATACCATAGCGGCTTACCTTTATGTTCAAAAACATTATTAAACACTAGTGATAATTATGAAGTAAAAAATATGGCATCCTTACGAAACACTACTGGCGAATTTGTGTATTTTGGAGTACACAATTTTTTAACTAATTTCCTTGATAAATTTCACCAAATTTACCTACAGCATGATGAAAAAATTGTTTACTTGCTCATAAATATTGATGGAATACCAATTCAAAAAAGTACTTCTAATCAACTTTGGCCAATCTTAGCATCAGTTATATCGCCAGACTTTAAAAGTACTCCGTGGCCAATTGCCATATTTTATGGTGACAGTAAACCGTTTTCAATAGGGGAATTTTTGGCACAATTCATTATTGAAATGAAACACTTGACTATTCATGGTCTTTTACATAATAACACTCAGTATTCCATTAAAATTAAATCATTTATTTGTGATGCTCCTGCAAGAGCTTTTATTAAATGCATTAAAAGCCATAACAGTTATTATGGTTGTGAACGGTGCACAATTAGAGGTGTTTATTTAGACAACAAAGTGGTATTTCCTGATTTAAATTGTGACTTAAGAACGCACATCTCTTTTATAAATAGACATAATAAAGAACACCATGTTAGCACATCTCCTTTAGTACAATTAGATATTGATCTTATTAACGATGTAACTTTGGATTACATGCATATGGCTTGTTTAGGGGTGATGAAAAGACTTCTTAATTTATGGATTAAAATTCGAAGTGCAAACAGCTTATCGCGCTGTAAAATAATTTTAATTAGTAATCTACTACATTCTGTCAGAAATTATATTCCTGTTGAATTCCAAAGAAAACCAAGAACCTTGAATGAGCTTGACCGTTGGAAAGCAACAGAATTTAGATTTTTTATGTTGTACATTGGACCAATTGTTTTAAACAATTTTTTACCTAAAAAACTGTATAAGAATTTCCTATATTATCACTGTGCCATACGAATAATATGTTCAAAAAAGCTACTGGAAGAGTATGGATGTGTTGCTATTGATTGCATAAAATTTTTTTTTTGTGGTGTTAAAAAAATTTACGGTGAACAAGAAACTTCATATAATATGCATTCTATTTATCATTTGGTACATGATGCAGTTACAGCAAATATTCCAGTTGATCAAATTAGTTGCTTCGTTTTTGAGTCATTTTTAGGAAAACTTAAACACTTAATTCGCACCCCTAATAAACCACTATCCCAAATTTGTAGAAGATTGTCTGAAAATTTTCCAACTATTTCGTTGTATCGCCAAAGCAATAACATCATTAATATAAAAAAAATAAATTAGGTTTTATAAACTTTATTGAATACGACAATTTTTGTATTAAAGCTGATACTAGTGCAGATTCATATATATGGTTAAAGAACAATAAAGTAATGCATGTAGCAAAAATTGAAGAAATTGGAACAGAATTATTTTTTTTTGGTCATGTTTTTCAATCATATAGTAATTTATATTCCATATATTCAATTACTTCCTCAAAATTATACACATCCGTGGTATCAGATAAAAGCTCTTTTCTTTTTAAAATAAATGCCAAAGACTTTTTTTCCAAATGTGTGGTTTTTATTGTTGAAAATAATATGGTTGCAGTTGCAATGTTGCATCACACAAATTAATATACGTATTATTAGTAGGCACAGTGATTTTACACTTCACCTGAAATTATACATGTATAATAGTTAAAATAACTAAATCAAACAGCGAAATTTATTTACTTGCATCATATAAGCACTTTGATTTGGTACTTGAGTATAGTAGGTAACTTACTAAACGCAAATCATAAATGTAACTTGCTTTAGTTTTAGATTAGGTAAGCACTGTATTGTATCGTAAAAAATAATTTTGGCACTTTCAAGTTTTCAACATCACTAATAATGTGGGATGTTATTATTTGGACAACTGAAAATACGACTGATGTTGTGCCGTCATCCTGGGTTGTCGATTCCGCTGTTCGAAATAAGTATATGTACCCAAAGCAAATTAAATCCAGCAAATTAAAAAAAATTATTAAAAACTGTGAGGAACCATCCACCAAATATGTATACACTGAGTTGGATGCAGTTTTCAAAAAGACCGTCAACTCCTACGCAGAAGGTGAGAAAATGTTACACACGCTGGAAAACACTTCTTCCCTTGACACTGACGGTACTCGATCATGTATAGGTATGTTTATGATTCCATAAAAGTTTCTTATTTTAATTACTTACAGACAAAAGCCCATCGCCGTGCAGTAGTGTTCATGCACCACCAGGAGATGGTTTTCGAGAGTCATTGCTGCCAATTCTAGACAAAATAAATGGGAATTATAAATTAATTTTAGAAGAAATAGCTAAAATCTCTATAGAATTAAAGGACCTAAGAAATGGTCAAAATCATCTCCGAATGAAGTTGTCTAATGTTTACGAAAAACAAAGTATACCAGAATGGCCTCTACCGCTACCTATAAAAACTGACGCCGACTTTATAGACGCAGAGAATTTGTTGCCGGAAAAACATGACGCTCTGGTAAGTATATATATGTTACAGTCAAAGTGATTAATCCGGTCATTATTCATAATGACCGGTCAATGTGAATAATTAAGGGAAGAAAAATTTTTTGGACAGTCCCCGGAAACTTAGGGGAAGGGAAACTCTCTTCTCAGTTTCATAAATGGCAATAGTTTCCCTTCCCCTAAGTTTCCGGGGACTGTCCAAAAAATTTTTCTTCCCTTAATTATTCACATTGACCGGTCATTATGAATAATGACCGGATTAATCACTTTGACTGTAACATATACATAAACGGCTCAGTTTCTCAAACGTTCTGGTGAATTTGGGACGATAATTTCCATGGAAACCTTTGTCAACACAATAGCGAAAGAATGGTTAAATAGCTTCATAAATGAAAAAGTTACGAGACTTTAAATTTCGTTTCCATTAGCGTCCGCGTTTGACGCCCGCGTATTGGTTCGTTTAGTACGTATACTGTTCGTGATTGGCGCGCGAACTTTGCATTAATACAATTCAAATCGTAAACTCAAATATTATATTTCTTAGTGATATACAGGGTGTTACATATAAGTATGTAAAAAAAAATTGGGTGGTAGAGGGGATCAAAACAAGCACTTTTTCCAAATAAATCGAGGATCCAACGCGTTTCGTTTGGGAGCCACTCCCAAAAAACTGGTGGTGAAATTTGCATTTCTTCTTTAATTTTTTTCTCAGCAACCATAAGAGACAAAGACGGTTGATACGTCTTTGAATAGGTTTTCGGGTATGGGCTTTCCGATTTTGCAAAAATTTTTTAAAAATTGCTTCCACGAATGGGTGCACCCCTAAATGGGGGTGCGAAAAAAATTCTGATTTCGATGAAATTTGGTATCTGGGGGTTTTTGGACATGAAAATGACGAATCTGAAATTAGTTTTTAAAAGACGTATCAACCGTCTTTGTAACTCTTATGTTGCTGAGAAAAAAATTAAAGAAGAATAATGCAAATTTCACCACTTTTTTGGGGGTGGCTCCCAAACGAAACGCGTTGGACCCTCGATTTATTTGGAAAAAGTGCTTGTTTTGATCCCCTCTACCACCCAATTTTTTTTTACATACTTATACAGGGTGATTCCTATAGTACCTGCCACCGTTTGGGAGCGTGTAGGTGGTGCGTAGGGGAGTATTTTGATATAGGACACTTGGGGTCGGAAATCTAAAATAAGGGTGCCAGAGCCAAATTTACCTTCTGGAATTTCGCGCCTGTAGGTAGGCAACCCAACCGGCCGGCGGTGCACACGGAGCGATGCAGAGCGAGTTAGCGCGAGGAAGCGACATGGGAGGGTAGGAGGGAAAACGACAGTCAAAAGCAATAACGTTTACAAGTGTTCAACGTGGCCACCGTTGTTCTCAATGCACTTCCTACATCTAGCCAACCACTCCCCCTCGAACTCGCGTGAAGACTCCTATGTCCTGGCGAACAGCCTCTCCGGCCATGACGACGCGCGCAATTAAGTCCTCTTCGGATTCGACGGGAGTCTCGTAGACGTGCGCTTCCATCACACCCCACAAGTAAAAATCTAATGGGGTGATGTCGGGCGAGCGGGCAGGCCACTCCACCGCACCTCCACGGCCGATCCATATGTCCGGATAGGTTTGGTCCAAGTGTTCCCTCACCTGCCGCCCGTGGTGAGCAGGGCACCCATCGTGCTGGAACCAGTGGTCCCAGTACAAGTTCACTGGAACATCCATTAAAAGTTCTGGTAGCACCTCGCGCAGGAAAATCAGGTAATTATGGGCATTTAGACGCGGAGGGAGGATGTAAGGCCCCAGTAGGTTGTTCCCCAGGATGCCAGCCCAAACGTTTAAAGAAAACTTGTCCTGGTATCCTCGCGTAAACGTTTCATGAGGATTGTGCTCCGCCCAGTAGTGGCTGTTACGAGGATTGAAGGTCCCCTCTCTTGAGAATCCTTTCTCGTCAGTAACTAGCACGCTCCTCAGAAAGTTCGGATTAGCTTCTTCCTCCTGGACGACTAAGTTGCAGAATTCCAGCCTCCTTTCATGGTCACCCGGCCGTAACTCTTGCACTTTCTTAAACTTATAGGGGTGTAAGTTGTTGTTGTTGGCGATGTTCCACACTGTGTGTTGACTACAACCCACCTGATCTGCTACAAGTCGAGTGCTAGTACGCGGGTTTGCCTCGAAACGTTCCAACACATCCTCCTCTAAGGCATTTACCAACGGGCGATCGCGATCACGGGCGCTAGTGGGCTGCGAAATAGGAGGAGGTCGGTGTAAACAAACAAACTTTTCGAAATGGGTGCTTAAATGACCCAAGTATCGATGTGCATCACGAATCTGTGTGTAAAGTTAAGCCTCCGTCAGCTTACCTGCAATTGCCCTGTCTCGCACAGTCGGAAGTGAACTTCTTGAAAGACCTGTCTGCAGGGTAACTGACGGTTTGGATACCGCTCAGCGTACGCTCGTCGTGCAGCTCGTGCGTTACCATTTGCCAATCCGTACATGAAGTGCATGTCCGCGTATTCCGTGTTAGTAAAACGTGCCATAGTGTTTATTCACTTGATACGCGTCGTTGCAGACGGGATTTCGTGGGTTTAAACAAAATTCTGATCAAGTGTCAGCCACACATCGCCGCCTGAGATCGCTCCGTGTGCACCGCCGGCCGGTTGGGTTGCCTACCTACAGGCGCGAAATTCCAGAAGGTAAATTTGGCTCTGGCACCCTTATTTTAGATTTCCGACCCCAAGTGTCCTATATCAAAATACTCCCCTACGCACCACCTACACGCTCCCAAACGGTGGCAGGTACTATAGGAATCACCCTGTATGTACACCCTGTATTGACTTTGCAATTTTTTGATCACGTTTAGGTATTAGTTTTGATCTATATTTTATTTGAATGTGGTATTATCAACCTCATCAAACTTCTCCATTGTATCCTAGGAAAATATCAGGCATTTAAAAAATATTGGGCAGGTCAATAATAGTCTTGTAAGTAGGAATTTTTGGGTACACTAATTGTCTATGGTTATATATTATTTTAGTGCAGGTACCTACGTTTAATAATATAAGAATAATTTTTAGGTGAAAATAATTTCACTGGTAGGAGGGAATTCTCTAAGACAGACAATCTCCTTCATGATAAAGAGATTGATATCCAAAGATATCGCTCTCCAATACTCGACGAAAGGACGGAAAGGGAAAAAAAATTTTTCGCAAACAAGGTTCTATAACATCATTATAAGTGAGTCTCCTAAATCAAATAGTGATGTTTGTAACTTATGCTTTACTTATTTAAGGTGCTGCAAGAGGTGTTTACGAGAATGCAACTGATTTAGCTATATCACAAATGATCGGATTTGCATTGGCTTCAGCTTCCGATTGGGAGGGAGGCAACAGAAGGAAGCTGAAGCCTGTGGGAGAGGAAAGCAAGCCTGTGGGAGAGGAAAGCAGTGCAGACGGGGTTGTCGCAGAAAATGAGGATCAACAGGTGGAACCTATCGAATTAAGTGAGTGGATCTACATGTTTGATCTTTAATTTAATATAATTTTTTTTCCAGATTGACACAAGAATCACAATGTACATGTTCTAGTTCTTAATGGTGTTTATGTTCATGATTTTTAAATTGAATTTGGTTTTTTAGTATGTACTTATATAGTATTTGTAAGTAGATTTGTTTATTAGTTTTTTTTTTAAATATAATGCAGTTGGGTTTAAATTTTGCTTTTGTGTATTTATTTTTAACCTTAGTGAAATTTTAAATTTTTTTTAAATACTTGCGTTAAGGCGGCGATACCGCCTATACCTATAACATGGACGGACTTTTTTGCATGACTTATTTATTTATGAACCGATTTTTACAAAAAAAAATTTTAATCAATTCATATGGACTAATAATAGGAAGTTTTGAATTCAGTATCTTCAATGACGAGGATAATCATAGTTCATACAAATTGCACCATTTCAGAGCGGAAGCGCCCACCAAACAAAACCTAAGATTATTGTCGCTGACCGTTACAATTCAAAACTTGCTCTTATTGGCCCATATAAAATGTGGTTATTTAAAAAAAATTGGTTAAAATCGGTTCAAAATAGAGTAGTCATGCAAAAAAATTTATAGGTATAGGCGCCACCTTAATTTAATGACTACATTCGTTTTACACAATATAAGGCATGCATGTGTTCATTTCATGACATTCGTTTTACACAATATAAGGCATGCATGTGTTCATTTCATTTGTTCCATTCCAAGTCAATTCCTATAGATTTATTTGTTCTGTTCAGTGTGACTAGTAATCGGTGTGTTTTTTTATTATATGGAAGTATCGTAGGTACAATGGGTAAATTTTAGTGTAAGTATTGAAATCATTCAGCTGCTATCTGGTGCTGAATGCTGAATAATAAATATTTATTAAATGTATTGTAAGATACCGAATATTGCTCTGATACTTGCATCACAATATATACGCAATGTTCAAAAAGGGATTCCTCAATATTGAACCTTGATATTTATACAATATCAAAATTCTTTGACATTAAATGTTGTATCAATATTACTTACCAAATATTGTATCATGATTAGATACCAAAATTTTATCAATATTAGATACCCAATATTGTACAAATATTGGATACCAAATATTGCTCTGATACTTGCATCACAATATGTACGCAATGTTCAAAAAGGGATTCCTCAATATTGAACCTTGATATTTATACAATATCAAAATTCTTTTGACATTAAATGTTGTATCAATATTACTTACCAAATATTGTATCATGATTAGATACCAAAATTTTATCAATATTTGATACCCAATATTGTACAAATATTGGGTACCAAATATTGCGGTAATACTTATACTAAATATTATGCCAACATTGTGTAGTAAATATTGAAAGTACAAGTGGAACACAATATTGCACACCAATATTTATACAATATAAAAAATGTCAACATTAAATATCGTGTCAATATTTAGTACCATATTTGCAGAATATTGGAATATTGAAAAAAAATATTGCACCAATGTTGTATTTCTACATGGGGAGTGCCTTTAACGTTGCAAGTGCTTTAAAGAACAATTATACACGTCTATCTTATAGTATTTTTTATTATACCTGCAGTATCTATTTAAATAGAAATACAATGAAAATACAATGAAGTCATTTTCGCACGCATTTGGAGTGTTTTAAAACGGAGATTGTGATTCAGGATATAATAAAAATTGTTATATTGTTGGTTAACCAACTGCGCGGCCAAAATAAAAAATTGGGCTTTGTCAGTTTTGTACTCATCTGGTGTAATTCTTCTCTGAGACTGCTTTAAATTCTTTACTTTAAAATATTTTGAAACGGGATATTACCTTTATCGTCGCAGATTTTTCACCACAGGTGTGAAAATCTCTTAACAAATGGCAAAAAAATATTATGACATGAGGACTTACAAAACTAGGATGTTCAAAAATCAAATTCGTCAAAGTAAGGCTGTTAGAAATGAAAATTTTTTCCAATTGGAAGATAAAACTTCCCAAATATATAAGGTTTACTCGCATCAATTCCTCGTCCCTATTCTTAAAAATTGAAATGTACAAGTGAATTTGCAAGGAAAGTATAGTTTATCATATAAAACTGACATTTGATCACAAGATTCCAATATCTTAATTTTTTGGTCGGACAACATATCAAATGGTTTAGGAAAAACCTAAAACCGAAAGTCCAACTGAGGTAGTGTTCCAAGAGCAGGAGAGACTTTATTGTTAAGCGACTGCGTTTCCAATAATCCAAGTTAATAGAATACATTTTGGGAAAACCTTACGATAAGTTCTTCATCAACATGTAGAAAGCGATTGACTAATAAATATGGAATAAAACTGTTACATTTTGATGCTTACATGTAAGATCAGGTACCCCTAATTAAAAGTGATATGAACGGGTCTATCAAGTTTCAGCCCCGAAAACTGAAAAAAAAATATATTAAGACACATTTTTTATTAGTGTGGATTGTGCTACACTGTAGCCGCCAAATATCTAAATTTGTGCAGGCCATAAAAAAAAAATAACCCGTGTTAACAACAATTCGGGGGGCTAACTTTGACGCTCAGCCCCCGGTTTTTTTTTACAAATTTCAACTGATTTCAACTAAAATGAACTGTGCTTGTTGCGAAATTAATTGTGCCGTTAAAATTTTTTTAATACAGTCAGCCGGTAGTCAGTTTTTATAAAATCCATTCTGGGGGGTTAAATTGACGCTCAGCCCCCGGGTTTTTTTACAAACTTCAACTGATTTTAACTAAAATTAATTGTGGTCGTTGTGTAATTAATTGTACCGTTAAAATTTGTTTGATGCAGTCAGCCGGTAGCCAGTTTTTGTAAAATCCATTCTGGGGGGTTAAATTGACGCTCAGCCCCCGGGTTTCTTTACAAATTTCAACTGCTTTTAACTAAAATTATTTGTGCTCGTTGTGTAATTAATTGTGCCGTTGAAAATTTTTTAATACAGTCAGCCGGTAATTCTAAAATACAATTTAACAAAAGCCGTTGTTTTATAAAACAATTTTGGCGATTAACTTAAACCTTAGCTCTAGGATTTTTTAACAAACAGAACCGATTTTAAACATACATTGCGTTATATTGTGCGCCATGTAACCGGAAACAACAAATCGGACATTTTTAGCGTTCATCTGATCGCCACTTTTTTAGATAATACCTTTTCCTGGCATTCAAAGCTTCTAATACACACGACAAACAGGTGAACTTGCAAGTTAGGTATAAATCAAAGACATGGGTACGAACGGTAATTGTTTATTGATTATGCTTTACATATATAATAGCTTCAATGCATACACTTTCACTGTCCATACATGTTTCTTTTTCTTTTAACAGATCATCATAAATTTCCCATCTGCCATGCAGTCGGAAAGCGTAGGTTTTAAAATGACCTAACATTTTTTCATTAAATGATGCAGTAGATCCTGAATATGTAATTATTCCCCCTAAAAGATATTTCTGGCCATTAATCCAAACTGAACGCTTTATGGTCGACAGCTTGTGAGGACAATTGCTACCTATTTCAAAAAAAAGATAGTTTTCATTGTATTCGTATGTACATTGGAGATAGTTGTCGCAGTCTGTGTTGGTGCATTTTCTTGTTTGTGAAACATCATGTAGTTCTTTAACAATATTTAAATTTAGATGCGGAGCAACTGGAATATCCGGAGATGTTAAAAGTTTTACTCTATTGCATTGATTGCAAAAGCGTTTCTCCGTTAACGAATATTGCAATTCGCCCATTTGACAAAGAGACCTAATTAGGTACTCAATTGTGGATTGTGTGTCAATTTGAATTAAATTATGTGAATATTGTGTTACTGTTTTTTTGAATAAATCTAAAAGAAGCTCCGCTCTAAGTTTATACAATTTTGTGTTGATTGTTTTGAAACACATTTCAATTAATTTTCCTAAGCGCGTTTCTTGAAACTTAAAAATATTTGACATATTAGGATAATCGCACCAATTACAAGCTATGAGATGTACAATTGCATCAAAGCCACAAGTATTGGTGAATATGTATTGTAGTCCTTCAATTTTAACTGTTTTTAAATCTGGACAACTGCCGTTTCTTATAATATTTATAGCTAATGATCTAACGCTTTCGTTTAAATTCATTTCCAACCATTCCGAATTTTTTTCTAAATAGGAACTTCTTTTCCGCTTTTTTATGGGCAGGACAGTTCCTTTCCAATTTTCTTCCGCCGAAAACTCTTCCGTGTTTTTTATTCGTTCTAAAATAAGACTAAATATTAGTTTTCTTTGCTAAATCGGGGCAGTGTTTTAAAAAGTAAGACATAACTTTGATTAAAAAATCACATTGAAGAAGTGTTTGATAATTATTGTCTTAAAGTTATGAAGATATCTATATATAATAAATAGGTATCTCATACCATTTGAACTATTTCCTTGCATTTTTTTAAAACTAAAGTTGAATCATGGGTGCACGGTAACACAGATTAAGGTTGTGACGAAAGCGCCCGTGACGCAAGTTCACTATAGACTGAGGAACTATATACAGAAAAATACAGATCAAATTTGTCGGATTCTACCACGATTCTACTTAAAAATCAATATTTTGATCAACACAATCGTTCTCCTAGATCCGGAGCACTGAAGCATTTAGAAGGAGTTCTTGAAGTTATGAAAAACCACAAAAATGACTCGTATCAGATAATTAGCAATACTAATGTCCGGTTTCACAAAGGCTGATTGAAGTTAACAAATGATTAAGTCAGTGATTCAGTAATTTGATTGGATAGTAGTGCTAAATGAACAACCAATCATATTCTTTAATCAATAATCACTGACTTACCCATTTGTTAACTTTAATCAGCCTTTGTGAAACTGGGTATAACTCTTGGCAAAAAAGGTAAACATCAAATTCGATTTTTATTTTTTTAAGAATAGCCGCCATTCGAAAGTTTTTCAACATCAAAATTTTTGAGAAAAAATTATTTGTTTTGATACCATTTCCAAACTTGTTATTTTACCATTACCCTGCCCTGCATATGTATAGAAAAGCGATATGTTTAAATTAGTTTAAAAAAATACTTTACCTTCTGTGTCTTTAGACTGCACTAGATGTACAAATAAATGGTCATCACCGTTGCCATGTATGCTATCTGAAATTAATTTATTTTGTATTTTTTATGAATTATACGAATATAGTCACCTTTAGTTTTTATAGCTTCCGAGAGTTTTATAGCATCCGGGAGGACAACGTTTTCTATTTTAGAAGATGCAATCTTCATAGTTCCTTCAAGCGCCAATAAGTGTTTAGACAAAAACGCGTCTAACCGCAAAGGTAGTACAGAATTTGAAAAGATTCGTTTTTTTAGTTCACTAAAGTTGCTTTCGACCGAAGCACTTTTTTTGGCTAATGGAAATTCACCTGATAAGACGTTAGACCATATTGGTAAATACTGCAATAATTTTATGATCTTTGGAACTAATTCAGGTAGATACTGTGCGTTATCATGATTTCCCGATGAAGATGAGATTTTGATTCGGACCTCATTTTCTATTTCTTTTCCCCATTGCATAAAGTTGTTACTTTCTTCACCTTCAAAGTGTTCCTTTTCGCAGACATCCTCCGTATCTTGCTCTTCTGAATGCAGTTCTTCTGTCGCCAGTTCATTCCCGATTAGGTTTAATAAAAAATTTTTGCTGGTTTGGCAAGGTGTCTCTTCTCCATACATAACACCATCACTTTCAGAAAGGGCAACTGTAAATATTGCTTTCAATATATTTTCCACTTCTAGCATATTTTTTGCTTGAATAAGTTGCCCCATGCATCTTTTATAAAATTGTCTACTTCTTCTCAATGCATTTTTAAGGCACGGCCAACGACAATATATGTGCACTACATGAGCCACATCGCCACGGACATAACAGGGTACCTCAAAATTAGATTGTAATCCAGTTAGATAATTGAAGCAATACTTTATGTAACTATTTAATGACGAAAATCCTGTGAACGCTCGTACTATTGCCGATAGTAACGCTAGGGACATGTCGCATACTATTTCATTAGGAATAATTGCACCACCTCGAATCCAAAAATTCAACCAATGTGTTATACTATCGGAGTCGTGTCTCTCTGATAACATGTTTGAAACAGAGTATTGAGTGCTAGTTACAGTATCTCTTAAAGTGACATCGTAAAGTAACAGCGTTCGACTTTTTGTGTTATCAGGTCGAATTAATTTTTTTACTAGTCCTCCTGTTGCATCTACCGACACCTTTGAATACGGGACCTTCTTGCAATAATGATTATACAGATGAATTTGAGGGGTACTCCAATAATGAACATAAAACCGATCCAGACCAATATCTTTAATGTAATTGTTAAAAGGATATAAGTACTTCATTATAAAAATTCCCATTATTGGGTCATTATGGAACCTATCATCCTTTTTGCTTTCATATACAGCATTTCTCAATACGTTACTGTTAGATAGTATGTTTGGTTCCATATCGCCATAATCCATCATACAATTGGCCATTTCTTTGCGAATACCACTAACTGTCTTCCGTTCAGAAATTATGGTTTTTGCGAGCATGTTTCGTTGGTGTCCTCTAAGTTGTCTTTTTGTTGTACTTCGACAAGATTCAAAAGTACCACTATAACTGCAACGAATGACTACTCTACTATTTCCTTGCGGCATATGTTTTAACTTTCCAGTTAAGACAGATTGGCAAGTAGTACATGATCCAAAAACTAGTAAATAATGCTCTCCTTGATTAATTTTAGCACGTTTAAAACTAAGGGTACAATTAATCTTAGTAACGTCCCAAAAATGAGAAGCTAAAAGACCTGCCCACTTTTCAGGTGGTAAAATATCGTATAACCTTCCGTCCCTATACATTTTTGATTCAGGAATAATGTTTAACCATTCTTGGGAGGATATTGTCAATGAGAATTCTATACTGTTGATTAGTTTTTCATCAGAAGTAATGCCTATGTTGTCATCTGAATCGTCATCTATTATGGATGGTTGACTACATGGCTCTGAAATTTTTGTTTGAAGTCTACTTCTAAATTGGTAGCGATTAGATAATATAACAGTATATAATAACTTTGGAGTGTAAGCGTAATTTAATTGCTTTGCGATTATTTTCCAAACAGAATGGGAAGGTGGATTTACTTTTCCATTACAGCAAAATAATTCCTCTTTGTATTTCGCAAACGTTGCGAATTCGTTCGCTAAGTTAGAATTTTTTTTAACCATATTTAAGAGTGGAATAATAGATAACAATGTAGTACGACCCACAATTAACAAATATTTTCAACCAGTTACGTGTACTGTGTAGTGTGTACTGCACAAAGCACTCTCGAACATACTTCTAATTTTATAAGAAAAAGAATACGTAACTTCGATGACAAATTTTTGTTATAAAGAGACCCTTTTATTTTTCAAGTTACAACGCTTGACTTTGTAAATTTGCTTTGCCTTAAGATTTAACATTAATGTGTTTTTTGTTACGTACAATAACAACCGTAAAAATGCTTACTGACTTAACGACTTAAGGAAGCATAAATACTGTCAATAACGCTAACGACTTATTTAGGTAACCTGTGCAGTTATTAAATGTAGTTGTTTTCTAATCCCAAAAGAAAACACGTTCTTTGAATATACCACTCGGGGTAGAAGTTGTTAATCCATTCCTTTTACATCGCAAATTTTGTTTCTTGAACTATGACGTGAAAAAATGTCAAATCTAACAACTACCTGCTTGCAGTTTGGTATTTAGATTATTTAGAAAGTACGAATATTTTAGGTATATAACTTTTATAATAAGATATTAATATAATTAAACGTAAACGAAATTAAAATATGATTTTTTTATTAAACAAAGAACATTATTCGAGTTTCGATATACGGTAAAGAATACAATATTATTAAAATCAACTATTCATATGAGGCATACGATTGAGACTGTTCCCTTCAGTCCCGGGCCGATGGTAATAACCTGCGACATCGAACAATGGAACCACGGATGTTTAGACTACGTCCAGACTCGCGGCGCCCAAAATTGATACATTAATAGAAATATAACAATAATAACGTGCTCTTCTTGTCTGAGGAATGTCGGAGTCCCTTAGGTTCACTCTGTGTTATTTATGAAACTAAGATTTAAAATTGAAAGGAAGATAACTATGCAAATACAAAGCACAATTTACTACATAACAAGCACAATTAATTGCGTTTAAAATCAATTTGAATTTTTGAAAAAACTGGGGGGCTGAGCGTCAAGTTAACCCTCCAGAATTGATATAAAAACTGGCTACCGGCTGACTGAATAAAAAAAATTTCAACGGCACAATTAATTACGCAACGAGCACAATTCATTTTAGTTGAAATTAGTTAAAATTTCTAAAAAAAACCGGGGGCTCAGCGTCAAATTAGCCCCCAAAATAGATTTTATAAAAAAAACAGCCACCGGTTGATTACATTAAAAAATTTTTACAGCACAATTCACTACACAACGAGCACAATTCATTTTAGTTGAAATCAGTTGAAATTTGTAAAAAAAACCGGGGGCTGAGCGTCAAGTTAACCCCCCAGAATTGATTTTATAAAAACTGGCTACCGGCTGACTGCATCAAACAAATTTTAACGGCACAATTAATTACACAACGAGCACAATTAATTTTAGTTAAAATCAGTTGAAGTTTGTAAAAAAACCCGGGGGCTGAGCGTCAATTTAACCCCCCAGAATGGATTTTATAAAAACTGACTACCGGCTGACTGTATTAAAAAAATTTTAACGGCACAATTAATTTCGCAACAAGCACAGTTCATTTTAGTTGAAATCAGTTGAAATTTGTAAAAAAAACCGGGGGCTGAGCGTCAAGTTAACCCCCCAGAATTGATTTTATAAAAACTGGCTACCGGCTGACTGCATCAAACAAATTTTAACGGCACAATTAATTATGCAACAAGCACAATTCATTTTGGTTGAAATCAGTTGAAATTTGTAAAAAAACCCGGGGGCTGAGCGTCAAGTTAGCCTCCGAATTTTTTAACACGGGTTATTTTTTTTATGGCCTGCACAAATTTAGATATTTGCGGCACAGTGTAGCACAATCCCAGCACTATTAAAAAATGTGTCTTAATATATTTTTTTTCATTTTCGGGGGCTAACTTGATAGATTATGATATCAGTGAAGATAATATTATTATATGTAGTGTCATTCAAAGAAACGGCGAAAGCTGTGTATGCAGTGTAGGAAAGTCTCCTAATATGAGGATAGTGCCTAATATGGGGTAGATCAATTACTTCGAAACTACAACTCCGACAATTCGGAAAAAAAATATGTTTTACGAATATCAATAGATATAGCCGGTGCGTTTGATAATGTGTGGTAGCCGGCTATTCTATATGAATTAGGAAAAATTAAATGTGATTTATCAATACAGAAAATTATTAAAAATTATTTAACGGACCGAATTACAGTTTATAGTAATAAATATCAGAAAATAACAAAAGAAATCAGTAAAGGTTGTCCACAAGGATCAGTATTAGGACCTACTTTTTGGAATATTATTTTTAACAATAGTTTTCAAGAGAATGTCAAAAAAATTGCATATGCAGATGATAAAATTTTTATACCTAATTGAAGAAAACTCAAGAAAAAAATTAGAAGATACTGGAAATGGATATTAAAAGACCCCCTACAATAAAAATTTATAATAAACAAATAAAAAATTTCGAATGAAATGTGATATGCGAGATTAGTATGTATGTATGTTGCTTAGTTCTCGTTCGTCGTACTTGTCTATATCTGTGTAAAAACTCTTCAAAGAAAAGTAATAAAAATGGGTGATAGGCAAATGGCCTCAGCAGCCGAAGCCTTAGGTGGGGTTTTAGTGGGTATACCTAGCAAATGGGAGAGCCCCACACTACTCTGGAACTTCCTTCTAGAGTGTGCAGAAGGAGCATTTCCCCACCAATACAAAAAAAAATATGGTTAATAATATAAAATATTTACGAATAACAATTCAAGAAAAATTAAAACAACATGCACATTCAGATCTATTCACTAACGTGGTTGACTACCGTCAATAGTTGACTTGATATCAACTAATATTCTCAATGTTGAAAATATTTGGTATTCGGTAACAGCGTTGATAAGACTGCTAATTGACATTAAAGTTGTCAATAATTACTATGTGGCAACGCTGCAAATATGTATAGTAGTTCAAATAAATCTAGTTATTCTAACCTAAATCTCACTCTTCTAACCATACTTTGAAATCGTTTCGTAATTTCCTAATTTGTTTTC